TCTTCGTCAAACGTCTGATCTTTGGGGTTATTTACTGCTTGTTGTTAGCCACCCCTGAATTCCCCTTTCAGTGTGGAGAATCAAAACTGGACAATACAGCCAAATATAGTATCATTCATTTGCTGTGATTTACAGTTAAAATCCTGCCACAGTGAGATATATGTGGTATAGGGGATTAGGACAAGGTTGTGGGGAGGAGGGAGGTGTCACCATTATTTCCAGTGAAATGGCAGGATTGGCTACACACACCCCCTGGGGGCCCAGTGCAATTTGGCGCCATCTGGTGGCTGTTACCGCCTCTTCGTTGTCAATAGGGATCATTCTGGGGACTGGGATCAGTGGGGACTTGGGGGATGGTAGCGCAATGCTAGGTTAGTCTGGGCAGGGAGGAGCCTGGGGACATGGCTTCCCCATCGGGCTGGCCCAGTCCCATGCCCAAAGTAGGTAAGAATTTGAGATGGCTCCAAATACAGGACAGGAACCACCTCCTTGGGGTTACATCGCAGGGGCTTCACTCCGAGATTTTCCTGCTGTGTGGAGGGAGAGCGGCACGAGTCTGCCGGAGTCCTTGGAGTCAGACTCACAGCAGCACCCTTGTCAGTCATCAAACAAAATTTAAAAGGAATTCAGATCGTTAACCTTGCCCTTTGGAGAAGAAAGGAGACCCAGCACACCACGCACACTGCTCCCCACCCCTGCCGCCTCGCGCCCCAGGCCCCCGCCCCGGGGCCTGCGCAGAAACCCAGACAGCCCAGGCCCCTGGGCTCTCCCGGCACCACTTGTTCTAAGCCCAGAACACTTCCTTCTCTCTTAAAAAACATTTTTTTGAAGAAATTTCTACTCTCATGGTTCAGCACCACGACTGATTTAGAATCCACTAAGGATGGAGCCAGGAAGCATGGGGCAGAGTGAGGCCCAAGGTCAGCGAAACACAAGTTAATAAATCTTGTCTGGTCAAGACAGAAAGAGAAAATGAGGGCCTTCCATGCAGTAAGTGAAACACTTCACTTGTTCAAGAGGAACATTCTCCAAAAAGCTGATTTAAAAACGCAAGTGCTCCTTTTATCCAAGTGGAAACTTGAAAAAGAAATGTTGTTTTAATCATGATAATCACTTCCCTTTGTCTAATATGTTTATTTGTTCATTTCAAATACATTGATTTTTTTTTTCTCCTTCTTTGGGTCCTGGGCATGTGCCACCCCAGCTCAAAGTCGGCAGAAAAGACGCCTATCCATTTATAAGAAGAGTCAGCAAGCGCATGTTCCCAGATTTCAGTGTCATTACTTCCGTTCAGATAATACCGTCACGCATAGAGAGACCAGAGACCGGGCTTTTACATTGGAGTTAAGACGTTATTTAAAAAGAGAAGAAGAATGCATACAGAAAAAAAATGAGAACAAGTTCCTAGCCTATTTCAGCTTCTAGCTGATGCTGCGATATTTTTTCTATTTGCATAGGAAGATAATGCTAGTGCTGAAAGCTCAGGAAACACTGGGCCAGGAGTTATTTTTTTCCGGAGTGCTGAAGACTTACTGGAAAACCATCTAGACTCTCCTACTCTGGTTAGCCTTTGTATGTCAGGTGACATGGAGCAGATGTCGGTTCAAACCTACTTTTTGTATCTTCTCATTAATATGCACTCCCTGGCTGAGCTGATGGGTCACATACTATAAAGCTATGTTAAGGGGTTACTTAGCAGTTCCTGGTTACTGAACTTTAGAAATGCTTTCAAATACGAGAACGAGCCTGTAAGGAACTGCAAATAAAACCACGAAAGGACAATGAAAGAATTCCAAAATAGACACATCCATGGAGTCATGCAGTAGTCAAACACCGCCTTGCTGATGTAAACAAGTTGTCCTAGGTTGTTCTTAACCGCAAAGCAGGCTGTGATTTGATCCGCCTTCACCAGTGGCAGGAGTCTACACAGAAGTCACGGTCAGAGCAACCTTGGATTGGCAGTGAGTTGTAGCAGACGGTTTGCTCTCAGTCCAGACCACCAGAGACAGAAGGGCTGCCTGCAACCATAGTCTAGTTTCTGTGAGGGTCAAAGGTCTCCTGATTTGAGTGAACTGGTCCAGCCGAACAGCAGTTTAACAAGCCCTCAAAAGGAAGTGCTTTACTCAGAAAGAGATTTAAAAGATGGACCAGGGTTAACAGTAGGATGCTGGGACTAGCTCTTATCAGCTTTCTGGAGTCAACTGTGCAAATCCCTTCCCAAGTCCGTGTTGGGTGACATTTCCTTGATAGCTTGAAACTGACCTCAGTGTGTTTACACCATGGAAACTGGCAAATGCTGTGACTTAGTAGGGATCCCCTAGAAAGCGGTTGTTAAGCTTTTCCAGCACACCTCTGCGCAGAGACTGGTGCCATTCAAAACGTAATCCACAGACATGTGTCGATTCACAAAGTATCTGATGAGTGCATGGTGAGATATGCCATGATCACTCAGAGTTCGCTTTTAGAAACTATCACAATTCTACAGAGGTTCTGCTGGTGGAAAGCAATAAAAAAGAAAACCATGGGCTTGTTTCTTACATGCCTCTGTTTTTTTAGTTTCCTTCTAGTAATTCCTTTTTATTGCATTTTACCAAAATATTGATCCTCAACAGATTGGACATCAAATAAGCAAACAGAACTGGTCCACCACCAGAGGTAGTTTGAGAAGCACAGATACGGAATATTGGCGAATTAGGTGAAATGAGCAGAAAGGTATTGGACATAAAATTAAGGACAGATTAGAGAGGTAACTTGAAACTACAGGCAAAATGATGTGAAGAGGGCAAAATTAAAAAAAAAAATGTGGAAGGACCTAAACTTGGGACCTAAAGGGCATCAATACCGAATGGGAAGAGCAGACTTGTGGTTGTAGCACCAGCTAAGCTGTCTGCTTCCACGAAGGCGTGTTTGTGTGGATGCGTGATACCCAGAATGACCGACAGTCAGGCTGCCTTTCCTGCCCTCTCTGTGAGGGGAAATCGCAGGTCCTCCGTGGGGAGAAAAACCATGACTAATTAGGGATGGTTTAAGGAAGAGGATGTTTCGATTGCGAGAGAAGGAAGACAGAAGGGTTTCCAGTTATTTCGAAGACTATTGTGTACAGGATGGCATGGACTTGGGCTGTAAGAGCCCCCCCCCCCGCCCCCCGCCACGGGAAAACATAAAAAGAAAAGCTCAGAGAGGCTCAAAGAATACTTTCCTAGGAGTCAATTGTCCAAAGATGGACTCGGCAGCCCTCCCTGGGGAGTGAGTTCTCAGTCCCTGGAGATGTGCAAGCACAGACAAGCTCATCTTTTTGGCTGGGAAGTCACTGCAACTGTACCACCATCTTAAGGGGGTCTGAAACAGGTGACAAGACTTCTTTCAAACTGGAGCTCTGGTGGCTTCATGAATATGAATAAAATCTAGAAAAGAATCAGAGAAGTTGAGTTCAAAAAGGAGACGATAAAAGCACTGAAGGAAATCAGAGAGGCTGTCGACAGAAGTGCAGAATGCTGTAGAAAGAAACAGAAACTCTGCACAGGAGCGAACTAAAATCAGAAAACTCAACTGCCGAGATAAAAGCTGAGCTCAGGGCAATCAGTAGCAGACCAAAGGATGCAGAGGGACAAGTAAGTGACTTAGAATAATGGAAATCACCCAATCAGAACAGTAGACAGAAAAACAAATGAAAAAACATGAAAGCGGTATCGGAGACCTATGGGAGAACATAAAGAGGGCCAATCTACGCAGAACGGAGGTCCCAGAAGGAGAAGATCGAAATGGTGTTTGAAGAAATGATGACTGAAAGCTTCCCAAACCTAAAGAAGAAAACGGATATCCAAGTACAGGGAGCCACTGAGAGAGGTGTGAAAAAGCCAAAGCAGGAGGTCACGAGAGGAGACCAGGAGAGCTACCAACAGGCTCTTAGGAGCAGAGAGGAAAGTTCTGGCATCCTGGGAACACATTTTGGCACAAGAAAATGAAGACAAAAACCGCTCATGGAGAAGTTTGCGGCTGCTGCTTCCAGGCAAGCAGACCACCAACGTGCTGAATTTACCCTGACTTGTGGGGTCACGCTTCCCCAGCGATGTGCTCCCCAGGCTGGACTCCCCCAAAACGCCAGACAAATCGATGGTCTGGCTGGAGCCCTTCGCAGGGCACAAAAGCACAAGCCCAGGTGAAAACGGAGGATGAGACGGAGAGTGAGTCCCGACTCCTCGCCTGATCACCAGGGCGTCCGTCCATCCCTGTAACACAAGGTGCTAGGAATTTAATAGACATGGTCACAGGACCCAGGAAGATCTCACTAAACCCATTTGTTTGATGGTATGACTGAGGCTCAGGACACGTAATTGACTTCTCTAAGTCATACAGCAACCAAGTGGTACAGTTCGTGTTCACATGGCTCCAAGTCCTAGCCATTTCCCTCCCCCAAACGACCTGTATTCATCCGCCTAGTAAACCTTCCGTTGAACACCTTGTCCAGTAAAGCGTGATGCAGTCCCTAAGAAACTCGAGGAAACCGCTCCGAGCGCAGTCCCCCGCACCGTGAAGGAACTCCTCAGACGTTCAGAGAATGAACGCATTGGAGTGGTCGGCAAGGAGAGGTGCACCAGCTGCAACTTTAAAAATGCTGCAAAAAAGGGAGAAACTCCACAAAGCAAAATACACATGGAAAAATCGCTCCCTTGTTTCCAAATATTTGCAGCTTAACATTCACAGGCCACCCAAAGTGCGGTGGTCAGCGGTCCGGCCCTGCGGGCCCCCTGGTGAGAAGGCGGAGACCAGAGGGCCGTGGGGGCGGCGCGGGGCTGCGGGGAGGCCCAGGGCTTGGGGAGGGAGGGGGGTGCTTCTCTCCCGCTTCGTTTTGGCTCCAGGGACGAGAGCGATTTTCACTAGAGCCATCCTCCACGGAAACCACAAAAACGAGCTAAACTTTCCTCCATGCAAGAAGAAAAAAGCACGCTTGTGTGAGCGCGTAGGGAAGGCGAGGGAATGTGGGCAGAGAGGGAGGGAGGGAGGGGTGGTGTCATAACTCTTGTAGTCATAAGACTTGCCAGTTGGTAGTTACCAGTATTCCAGACACTTCCTAATGCCAGACAAACGCCCCAAGTCTCGGCTTGTCTGGCTCAGAGATCTATTCAACTGATAGCAGCCGGCTGGGGGTAGGGGGGAGACACATCTTGCAGGGAGCAGCCCTCCGACGACGCACATCAAGCACAACATTGTTCTCGGAAGGAAGAATGGAAAGGTTTGTTTCAGAGTCACAACTTTTTTTTTTTAAGGCACCCGAGTTGTTTTAACAAGTTGCTACAAAACTTGGGTTTCCTGAGGCGAAGCTGTCAGGCACAGAGCAGATACTGTACCGAACTCCAGAGAGGGAGGGATCAGAAGGTTAGTCATTAAAAAAGAAAAAGAAAAAAAAAGAAAAAAGCGGAAAAAAAAAAAGCCCCAGGCACATCATGCCTGGAAATGATGTAAGACGCGGCCGCTCCTCTGTTAGAACTACAACCAAACAATGCTCCGGCAGCTGCTCTCCAAATGTCAGCGCCAACCCCGGCCAAAGGGGCTGCAAAGCCACCCAGCGAAGGACTTTGTGCTCTACCTTTTTCGCCCACATTTTCCCCAGGCACTCGCAGGAACCTGGCAACACGTAACGTGGCAACCTTTGCCTTCTAAAATGGCAAGCGGCAGCATTTCAGAGAACAAAAGGATTTTTTGAAAGTCAGCTGCATCTCCATCCCCACCCCCACCCCACCCCCGACAGCCCCGCCCCCTCCTTCCCTCCCAACTCCGAGTCTGAGAAAACAAAGTGGTGCTGCGGGCAGCCCCGCTCTCGAGTGCCCCCTTGTGACCAAGCCCGGAACATCACTGATGTACCTTGAAATCCGAGGCTCCGCTCCCCGGTAAGTCACGCTGGGGGAGGGGGACTTCTGGGCTACATTTGTCTTCTCCAAAAAACATGCGCAGAGTGGAAGTCAAGACTCAGAAGGTCTTGCTTTTGAACTTATCCCGTTAGCAAAAATTTTACCCTTGCAGCAGGAGAAGATCTCTGGGTTGAGGTTGCTGATACATTATTTTCCCCCTAAGCAGATGCTAGGGCAATATTTTTTGTTTTGGCAAGCTGTAAAGCAAAAACTCTGGGGCTTAGGTGTCTGGCAGTGAGCACGAATAGCCAAGAAACTGAGGATTCCTGCTGGGTGGGACTTGCATTTTCCATTTTTATCTGAATTTGTTGGTTGTTTGCAGAAAACTTTCTCCCAGGTAAGAAGCATTTCCAATCCCCACTGCTGGTTTATTTGCAAGGATGACTTGGGATTTCCAAACTGCAAGCCAGGCTTCCCAGAGCCTGCCTGGCGGCGCCACCTTAGCTGTTTCATCTCTGTGTGGGGCAGACACCCACGAAAATGCCGCAAGCAGTATTTTTAACCAGTCTTCTTCCTCTCAGGGATCCTCCCTCCAAGCTGTCTCTGATTTGAAGCACCGACTACAGTCGTGAGCTGCTGGTAGCTCAAGCCAGCGGTGAGGGCATCTGTCCTGGTTTGTCCCTCTCTGGAAATGTTAACTGGAAACTAAGAAAGAAGTTCAGATCAAAGTAACTGTTCTCTTCAGAAAGTTCCATTAATTAACTGAATTAAAGGAAGTTAAATGATGTTTGGAGGAAAGTCATTTTAGAAAGCCCAGGTCCAAGGGACCGAAGTCCAAAGCCTCTAATGTGAACCTTTAATGAAGCTTGGCAACAAGTCAAACAATATGAGAAATTGAGGGTTACCATATGTAAGACCAGTCGTTGCCTGAAATCAGTCATTTCAAAGGAACATGTTGAAAGTAGACAGACATTTCCCTCGTAGTTGCCTAGATCATTTAATGTTAAAGATGAAAAACCCAGGGCTCTGAGTAACAATCATTTGACCTGCAGCTAAGGTGAGTCATGGCCTTCATAGAACTAGGCACAAAGGTGCACGTCAGGCTGTGGCGATCACCCGGCTTGCTCATTTGCAAGGCAGGGATGTTGCTTCCAGTAGGGAATGCCACCAGGATTTCACGGCTCATTCTCGCAGCCTCTCCAACAGGTGCTGTTGAGTCATCCATGCACACAAGTGACTGCCCTGGCAGTTTCATCAGTTAGGATTAAATTTCCATTTGTTCCATGACTTTATGAAGTGATTTCTACCATTGAATCATATCTACCATTTCCTCTAGGACATAAGGATTTTTTTTTTTTAATGTTTGTAACATTGTGTGTATTTTTCAAAATTTGTCCCAGCTGGGTCAGCAGGCCTTCCTGAGCTGAATGGACTATTTACGGGAGGGGAAAATTCAGGGCCCAAGGTCAGTGGTACAGAATTAAATAAGGTTTCCTGTTTGGGCAGCTGGTCTACCACCTCCTCAGCCCAGGGCTGATCGGGTCTTTTGGAAGACAACATAGAGGAGGGATGATGCCAGGAGCGGGCAAGGAAATTTTTCTTTTTAGCTTCTCATCAACCAGCTTTCATTTCTTGTCAGATGTCACTTCTCAGCAATACTTGCCTATGTTCCCTGTTAGGTGATTTTTTTTTTTCTTCTCCTGACCAGACTGAGAGAAAGGAGTCAGTTAAGGATGTAGGAATCACAAGGTCATGCATTGTTGTCCATTGTATTCACGATGACCACAGTACTTAGAACACGCATGACACGCAGGAGAACCGCAGTAAACACTGGTTACGTGAAGGGAGGAACAGAGATGAAAAGAGACTTCCTGGAGAAACAGAAGAAGGGACTAACCATCAGGAAGGAAAGGTCACCAGGGTAGAAGTAAAATGACTGCTCAGCAAAGCCCTTCTCTGTGACCTTGGATGTTGCAACTCAGGCTTCTGTCACCAATGCCCACTTCTGTTTGGCGCTGATAAAGTGCTGACCCAGTGCAGTTGTGGTCAGCCAGCCTCCGACGTGGAGCTGGTCTGTGAAGGTGCTACCTAGTGTCTGCCAGGGCCGGCGAGTCCTCTGGATTACCCACCTGACCTCCCCCAGCGCCTCTGCTCGGCTGTGCCCATGGGCACCGAGCCCGTGGCTGGGTGGGGGCCCGCGGTGCTAACTGCCCTTTCCCCAGGCAGCTGCCTTTCTTGTCCTCAGTTCCTTTCACGCCTCCTCATCTGAATTCCTATGATTCCTGCAGAAGATGGGTATCTGAGAGCCCAGAACTTTCTTTACCTCCTGGTCCATTTTGTGAGAACTGGTGTCACCTGTGCCATGGGACCTGGAGCCTGGAAAGGGAGGGGGACCTGGGCTGAGATCACACCACCCAGCAGGACTCTCCTGCCACGTCTGGTGCCGTGTGTGGTTCACACGGCGGACCTCAGGGATCCCACCCCGAGGCTGTGTGGAGTGGCCGACAGTCTCCAGACGGGAGCTGGGTATCCTCGGGCACACACTGCCCACTGGTCTCCCTGGGGACAGTGAGATGGCCATGCCGAGTGAGCGGCCTGTGTTCAAACCTGGGGAGGTCACATCTCCTGAGGGTCCCTTGGGCTGAGTCCTCCCTGAATCTTCCAGCTGAATTGATCAGTGACCTCTGCTCACTGGCAAACTCTCTGGGCTTTGGAGAGAAGGTGGACCTTCACTCAAGTTGGCCTGGGTCTGCCCTGTGGACAGAGGGCCTGGCGGGAGGGCTCAGCCTGGAGCAGAAGCTATTGCTCCAGGAAAACCTGGGAAAACAGGACGTGTAGGGAGCAGAGAAGAAAGCTAAGGCATCCAGCATGCCTTCCTGTCGGAGCATGATGAGGAATAATTACCTGCTTCTGGAGCGCAGGGGTGTGGAGTCTACGGGGGTGGAGGGCCTGGTCCGTGTAGTTGGGCAGTTAATTATCCATCTGACTCCTTTCCTCTTTCTTCCCTGAAACCCTCCTCTTCAAAGGAAGAACTCTGGGGCAGGCGGTGACCTGTGGAATGCTGTCTGACAGCCCACCAGGCCCAGGGAGGACACCAGCCCCTACGATCTCAAGTGACAGAATCAGCGCTTTCAAATGACACCTTATTATCCAGCTGTGTCCCTGACAGGTGAGGACACAGATCCAGAGAAGAACTTGGCCGGGGCCCCTGGGGCTTTGTGTCCGCGTCATATCACAGACTCCATCAGTCTTTACAGTTAATTTGGAAAGAGACACTTAAAGGCCACACTGACAGTGCCACTTGACAGTTAGGGTTTTTTGTCATTTGCCAAAATCAAATCGTCACTGAGGAAACGGGTGAAGCCGGCACTGAAATCTATCACTCTCCCTACCCCCGACCTTCATCCTGATTCACACTGTTTACGGATCCAGGCACCTGTTCCTAGAATCCCAGTTCCACAAGGAGGCTGGAGAGTCTGGGTTGCCCACGTTCTCCAGCGTGGGGTCCTGTCAGAACCTGGGTTCTCTCCATCTAAGCCTCCTTTCTCCTTTTTTAAACAGCTGCCTCTGTTTCTGTCCTTAAGTTTCTCCTTTGAATCCTGTAAGAGCAACGTCCATGTCCAGAAACCCTTTTCTGAATCTCTTGGTCAAACGTGCTTGGAATTCAGAACTTCCGCAGTTGTAGAAAGCCCGTGTGTGTGACACACCTGGGGGTCTGGGTGCTCTAAACTGTCTGTCTGCAGGAAGGTGTGCAAAGGCCACTCTGCAAGTGGTCACAAGGTCTGATTCTGGCCAATGGCTTTCAGGATCGCAGCTTCAGGTGCCTCGGGACCAGCAGAGCTGCCATCCTGGGCTGCCTCCTCCAGAGCATCTCAGGTCCTGGGCGGGGCTCTGTCCCAGCCCAGCTCACAAAGAGGGTGGCAGATGGGTGGTGGACTTGGCATGGTGGGTGGACGAGGTTTCGGTATCTTTGAGGGAAAGAGGAATCCAAGATCAAATTCAGTAAAACTTAGGACTTCGTCTCTTTCCCTGACCGCGTTGGAGTTCGGGGTGTCCACGTGTTTATCACGATGTGTGTTTCACAGGCTGTCCTCAGAAACATCTTTTTCTGGTTTTTGTTACAATGGTAATGGAGGTGCTTTTAAAAGTAGGGGCTTTTAACTGGCTTCTTCCCACAATATAGAAAGCTGTCTGTCAGAATTACAGCATGGAGTACTCTGGTGTGTCCTTGGAGATAAACACCTCATACGTGCAAGGCTGTGTGTGTGTGTGTGGTGTGTGT